TGTTTTTCTCGTTGCCATGTTCCCACCAATAACGTAGCTCCATTTTCTGCCTTTAAAAGCACACACAACCCACAATTCCTCTATTCGCTCCGACGAAGGGCTAACGCTCGAAACGTCAGCTTTTGTAATCGTTACGGTGGCCAATTTACCATTTCAACTTTGTTGATATATCCAAATTATTTTGTTACTCCCACCGACGCAGCCCCAAACAGTTTCTTTCGAAACTATCAGCCTTTATTCAAAAAAGAAAAAAAAGACAGTGGACAACATACTTGTAAATGTACGTTTATTTTTCTGTGAATGAAAATATTCGCCGCAAGTCAATACGATAACCTGAAGCCTTTCGACATTCCCATAAGCATCCGTTTCTTTGGGCTCTCGAAATCACTGACAGAATATTAAAACCATGACTATCCCTGAATGAGCCTCCATAACCTCTGTCACGGTTACGGTCAGTAGATGTAAAAGAAAAATTTTGAATAGAGTCTGTGAAAAGAAGTAACCGGCTCTTTTGTGGGCCTCTTTTATCCTTTGTCACAACCAACTGAGAGCTGGAACATACAAGAGCATCCCATATTTGGTAATCTTACCGAGTTTCATTTAGCTTGGGTTTTTCAGCCGAGATAATGAGATTTGCAATTTCAAACGTGTTTCAATGATTTATCTTTCGTTCTTTTCCCCTTGAAGAGTACTACAGAACAGGGGTCCTGCTCATCATAAACGTTATACAGGTAAGTTTGAACGGAAATGAAATCCAGCAAACCCGAACAAACACAAAGATTTGCATCAAAGGTATTCAGGCATTTAGGTAGGTCAAAAATAGAAAGTCCTGGATTACAAAGCGCATTTGAGAGTAAAATAACTTCGAACAAACACCTTTTCATGGCAAAAATTGAAATTTTGGGCGTTGATCGTGAAATGAAAATTTAGCGTACTAGGTCATGGATTTATGATTACTGTTGCCTCATGAACAGTTTGTTCTTCTGGAATAGAATAAGGATCATAATGCAAATGAAAGGAACGGCTTTGCGGTGCTTTATTGCGTCTCAAATCGATTCTAAGAGGAAGGTTTTCTTCATCGTTGATTGATCACATAGATCTTATACTGCGTTAAATTATTGGTTATTTGAAAGCCTATCGCGGCAAGGAAAGTCCGAAAACACTTTGATTAAAACTCGCTAAATTTCGTCCGCCATTGCTCAGACTACAACTACTGAGCCAAAGATAATTTTCAGCGTCTTTTCCATTGTGACATCATATTATTCCTTTCATCGACGCGCTGTCGAAGTAAATAGTGGATTGAGTGGCGATCATTCTCGAAAATTGTCGCTGTTCTTCGTTTTAAACGACAGTAATGGTTCTGTTTCTTCCGACGAGGGGTCCATACCTTTCTTTAAAAAAAGCGAAACATTTTTTTTTGTCTTTTTCCTCAGTTGCTGTTTATTATAAAGGAAGAAGAATGGGCTCTGGCGAAGGCAAGAGGTACTCGTAGTATGATTTCATTATTTACAGCCAAACTGTGTCAGAGGTCTTCCAGCGATTTTGTGGGATTCTCAGTTGAGACTCCTCTTCTGATAAATTCTACGCTTCTGACATCTTTGTCAAAACATTCAAACAGCTGAGCGAAAGTTTTTTTTCATAACCAGATCTGCTCAAGGTAACAACATGATTACACTGCACATTTATAAATCTCTTCATCCTTGTCCCATTAATTTTTCAGTCTTGGGCCATAACGCGAATCTGCGAACCCTTCTTAATTTTTTATTTGTCCCACCCTAAAGAAGTGTTCCATTTCTGAGAGACGAATCATCATACGAATCATCATACGATAGGAGGCAGTGTGGCCGAGTGGTTAGAGTGTCGGACTTGTAATCCGCCGCTCCCGGGTTCGAGTCCCACCCTGGCCACTGGATCTGTTTCACGGTAGCCCCGAGTTCAGATCCTTGGCCACGCTTGCAAATAGCCAACTGGTTTGCCTCCGGCCGGTTGGGGTTCTTAATGATGTTATGTTCAATTTAGACCATTTGTTTCATTTGTTTGCAAGGACCACAATGGAAACTACTGGTTCATCAGTAATTGTGTAATCCTATAAAAAGACTTTTTTTTTTTCATTGCTCGTCTTGAATGAGAAAGTTATCTTAACTTTCAGTCAGTCCAACACATGAGCTCTTTTTTTTTTACCTCACTTATAATTTAACTTATAAGTTTATTTTATCTTCATCTCGCTGTAGTATTCAACAAGCAGAAATGGCGGCAGCAAAGGATGCTCTGGCATCTCGTGAGTACTTTTAATGGATATCGTCATTTGATTATATGATGATGAAATTGTAATTTGACAAAATGGTAACATTACAGCATTGTAGAAAAGCAAGAAAGTGCCACAGTAACATGATGAGAAAATGGTAAAATGGTGACATAACATTGTGAACTGTGTAGCAAAAGAACATCCTTTTAACTTAGCACAGGATTGTAGAAAATTGTTCATGGTAACGTGGTAAAATGGAGATGACAAACTCACATTATAATTTGTATGATAACATAGTAAAATCTTTATGAGGTAACACATATGCATTATTGACCAAGAGTGAGGCCAAGATTATTAGTGGATATTTGCCGAGTTCTTTTTTTTTTTTTTT